CATCTTCATGTGCGGATGCTAGGAAGGCTGAGTGACGGTCTTTGAACCGAATATTATGTAAATTATATGGGCTGTGTGAGGGGACAGGAGATGGGCGATAGAGAAAGCGGAGAGTTCAAGAAGACGCTGCATGCTACCTTGCAGCAGCTATGGCTCCCTGCGTTTTCCATTGCCAAGAGACCAGAATCAGAGTTTTAGAAATGGGAGACATCTATGAGAGCGTGTTCATTCCTCTGACTTACAGGAAAATGAAATCTACGGAGATTTAGTGACTTACTCAAGGTCATATATCTGGTTGGAGCAGGGCTGGGAATAGAATCTGGGTCTTTTGGTTCCAAGACCTCTTTCAATCATTCCACAAAACATCTTTATTCCTGTAATAATCAGGATTTAAAAATAAATTATTTGGGTGAAAATCTTTCTAAAATGGTTTACGCAATTCCAATTTTCACATATAGAGTATAATTAACATTATTGAACCTTTTCTTTTGTGATTCAAGGTCATCATTATGAAAATTAATGATGTCAACTCTATGCATACTGCAGTCTGTGAATGCTTATTTGACTTAGAGTGTAGCACCACGTTGGGAATATGATAACTGTTTTTTACAGATTTCTATGAATTTATTCATTGCTCTTATTCCTTGCTGCTCTCAGTATCACCCCCTTCCCTTTCTTTCCAATTCTAATTCTGAACTGATGCTTTCTAAAGTCTGTTCTCCAGAGTGATATGAAATGCAGACAAATGCATACCATATTCATTGCAGCATAATTCATAATAACAAAAATGAAAACCATAAATGTTCAACATAGGAGAATGTTTAGTGAGTAGTACTTTCAAAATACAGAATATCATGTAGCCATTAAAATTACTGTTGTGTGAAGAGGTTTTAATAAAATGAGGAAGCACTTATGTGATGGTGCTAAGTGAAAAAAGTAGGATATAACACTGCTAGGTATCAATAGCATTTCAAATATGCTTAGAGTGAGGGAAACATACCAAATGTTTACAATGGTAGGGTTACTGATGGTTATTATTCTCTTATTACACCATTCTACTTATTTCTATTTGTTTCTGTAATAAAAGTGTAACACTTAATGTCAGAACAAGAATTTTCATTTACTTATCTTTAGAGAGGGGAAGGGAGGAAGAGAGAGAAAGAGATATATCAATGTGTGGTTGCCTCTCATGTAGCCCCCACTGGGGACCTGGCCTGAAACCCAGGCGTGGGCCCTGACTGGGAATCAAACCAGCGACCCTTTGGTTTGCAGCCCATGCTCAATCCACTGAGCTATGCCAGCCAAGCTAGAACAAGAATTTTTTAAAATATCACATTGGAAAATATAACCTAACTGGTAAGAACTATAGGAAATGAAAAATATATAGATGCTAAGTGAAATTCCAAAGCTTCTGTGACACTGTAGGCTTACATGTGGCTTTTACTTCCTTCTCATTTCTTTGCTGAATGTCAGGTTGCAGGATAGTTGAATTGTGGAAAAGTATATAAAATGTTAAAATATGTATGTATTTAATGGGGAAAAGAGGAAGCTGAGAGGGGAAGACAGAGAAGAGAGAGGCGGGACAAAAGGTTCTGACCCAATGCTTTTAGACAGATATCTAAGGGTTTTTCACTGATTGGTTTTGAGATGCTTAGAAGCCACAGACAGTGGTAACTGTCCTAAAGTCACAAGGCTGATTTATCAGTGGATAGGCATTAAGGATAAATTAACCTCCTACAGACAAGGAGATCTTCTAATTAACAATTAACTACTTCCTAAAACTGGGAGAGCTAGATTAAGAATATGAGGAAGTAAAAAATTGGGAGAGCATGGAAAGAAGCTAAGCAGTTGAAGGAAATAAATGTCTTAGAAGAAGATGTTTAGATCTGAAGGTATTAGATACTATTGCTACTTTCTTATTCTATTTCCTGATTCTTTTGTATTACAGTAAACTATTTTTCTAATAGCAATAAATTTTCTTATTTTCTCCTTGCTCTTTGAATGAGATCCTTAATTTATAGGCAATGCAGGAGAAGGCAGTTTTGCTTTTACAACATACAGTGACATTCACTGACTCATGCGTCCACAGCCCCCTCCAAGTGTGTCACCCAATGCAGAAATGACCAAGGGCAGAGTGAGCCCAGAGTGGCTGATTTAACAATAGATGTTGCTTGACTTCTCAAAGCTTTTAAAGATCATTTTTAAAAATTTGCCTCTGCCACCCCAAACATTACATACCAAGAAAGAAACTCTGACTATTTTAAACTGGTCTGAGGGACAGACGAGAAGCAAATCTGCTCTCACTCAGCATTAGTGCACATGTAATATGATTTGTAAGGACTTCCTCAAATATATACAGTGGGATCTCGAGAAGCAATTTGTCTATAAAGAGAATCTCCTTTGTTTGTAGCCTGAGAGATGCGTGACTGATCATACAGATATCAGCATGAGGGGGATATCCAGTAGAGGATCAAGACCCGAAATTTTGTTAGACAACTGAGATGTTTTTTTCCATGATCAATTTGGTCAAGAACCAATTCATTCGAGAACCAAGATGTTTCAGAACCGAGGTTTGACTGCACTTTATCGTAATAACCTTGTGAGATATTATTAGCCCAAATTCATGGATGAAGAAACAGAGGCTCTAAGACATTAATTTGCTAAAGATCACTGTTAAGCTAAGAGAAAAAGCCTGGAATTTAGATTCTCTGACTCTCAGTCCTATAGTGACTTCCACTGTTTCATGCTGCAGAGTTTATTGATACACTGATTCTGTGCCAAAGCATTGGCTCCCAAAGGCCACGTACACATGTACCTCTGCGTATTAGGAGGTGCTCAACAACACTACAGGTGAGTGGAAAATTATCCCAAAGAAGGAAAATCTGTGTGGCGAGAGGTGGCAGCTGGTGTTCCTTTCCTCATTGGTGTCTACGTGGGCCTTTCATCCCACAGACTGCATCTGTCATCTTCACAAACCCACCTTCGTCATTGATCTTCAGGGTTTAAACTAATGCCCTCGCCTGGAGAATTCCATCAAAAACTTGAGCCACTTTCACTATTGATTTACTCCACACGCCCCTGGCTTAACTAATAGCTTGTGAATATCATAGAGTATATGTATGCCCAAAATTCATCAGAAATTTTTATCCTGAAATCAGGCATGGGTGTTTTAGCTCCCCAGCGAGACTTTAAACAAGATCTGTGTTTTCACCCTGGCTGATGTAGCTCAGTGGATTGAGTGCGGGCTGCGAACCAAAGTGTTGCAGGTTCGATTCCCAGTCAGGGTACATGCCTGGGTTGCAGGCTGTGACCCCCAGCAACCGCACATTGATGTTTCTCTCTATCTCCCTCCCTTCCCTCTCTAAAAAAAAAAAATCTGTCTTTTCAACGTCTCAGATTCCTCCCTGCCTTTTCAGTACTCTTCCCTCTTTCTTCCAACTGCCTACTGTATCACTATGCATTTAACAAGTGCCGACTGAGTGATTGAGAACCCCCATAAGTGCAGTGACAGCCAACTCGATTTGTAATAGAAGGTTGGAGTCCCAGCTCCACAACAAAGTAACTATGTTACTGCAGGCAAGTCTGTGGTCTCAGTTTTCTCTTCATAAAATGGTTTTGGGGGCAGGAAGTAAGTGAAACACATGAGTTCTGTGATCTCTGATATGCTGTAAATATGTAAATATTATTTTGATTAGGCTAGTGGTAGTCTTCCTTTACTTCCCTTCATCAGGGATGAGAGGAGAGTGGAATGAGAATTCCAAAGACAGAAATCTTAAAAACAAGGCAAATGCAGAAACCACGTAACTAACCACCTGGCAGGAGGAAGAAAGGCAATGTGTCTGGAAAGTTAATCAAGTCAAAGAGAATCAGAGAAAGCAGAGGTGTCCCGGGCAAGGCCAGAAATGCGGGTCCTGTCTGACAGGGATGCAAAGGCATCAGATGGTAGAATGTAAATGGAGACAGTTTAATAACTTAAAAAATTATGTTAGTGGTTGGGCATATGTAGCTTAATGTCTGTTTTTTAATTTGCTCTTCTGTCTGCTATTTGAGCTTGAAATCAAATGTTAAAAGCATCACCATTGAGACTGTTTAGATCAGGAGAAAGAAAATAAGATGCATGCTAACAGCTTCCTTGTAAGAATAAAAACAGAAGATCCTAGTATGAAAATAGGGATTGATACTATCAATATTTGACCATTAAAAACCTATTTTCCTGTACCTTTTTCTCCATTTTGTTGGGTTGAGGGAAGTATGGCAATTTTAATCAGGATATTTATCCTAACTTCAATTTCATTTAAGATTTTAATAATTCCAATATTAATTTTGGAATTTAATATTGCACTGGTTTCATTAAAACTGGGTTTAAGCTGACAGACCATGTGACAGATAAAAAATGGTTTTATAAGGAGGTCTGTCTATACCCTTGGATAGGATGAACTTGTGGGAGGCAGTGAACCCAAGTATCTGGTGTGGTATTAGGGGCTAGGGTTTAAATGAAGAGCTAAAGAAAAAGAAAATTAAGTTCAGCCTGAAACTTTAAGAAGAAAAATGGCACCTCTTTAGAAAAGAAATTCTCTGAAATTAAAGAATAACAATAAGCAAATAACAATTTGCTTATTTTGCTCTGAAGCAAATAACAATTCTTGGATTATCGGTTGTAAAAGTTTTCAGCTGGTATCCAAAATTGAAGTGACACTTTAAAAGATTAAATCAGTTAAGAGTACATGATTGAAAAAAGGCCAGAAAGTTCTATTTTAAAAAGAGCAAACATTTAAAAGGAATTTGATATTTAAGAGACATTTTTAAGGATCTCCTAATGAAATCTTTGATACTAAAACTGCAGAGAAGAAATGCACTGTTAATCCATGATAAATAACTTTGAGTGAGGTTTGCCCTTCATCTTCCACCTCAGAGAAGGACTTATGTTTAACTAGTCTATAAAGAAATCTCTTCAGGGAGAAAAAATTGTGCGACTAAGTGTATATCAAAGACAAACATACCTGCTTCATCATAAGACACAGTCAATTTTTCCAGCATCTCTCGGTCAATTGATAGGATCTGCTGTTCGAGGATTGTCTGGTAAGACAATACACTGTTTTCTTTGTCTTTCTCGTAGTCCTGCAGATGCTGTTTGAGGGCCTCGGGGAGCCGAGATTTTACATATTCAGCCGCAGTCTGCAAATACAACAGGTAGAGAGCCCATTAGTGTGTCTCCTCTGAGGCTTTTCACTTCACCGCAGGTGCGCAGGTGTGCAGATGCTGCACCAAAAACTCAAAGCACCGGGGAGCCAACCCTTTGGACAAGCACATCCCTGTCATTGCCATTTCTGTCTCCACTGCAACAAATAAGGGGAATCTTCAAATACGCAGAATCACAGACTTCTAAGAGTTTTATACCAGGTAGAAAGGTATAAAAGAAGATGGATTTAGTTTTTCATTCATGGAGTTAGTGCTTGAAGTTTCAACAACTATTCCATTGACCTCTGAAGGCCCCATAATAGTCATGTTACTGGATATAAAACCTATGACTTGCCCTTGTCTAGAAGGCTGAAGCTGGTCATCTCAGCAGCAAGCCTGCCTACACTACTGCATCCATGCTCTGTTTGGTTGTTCTCTACTCATTAATGCTCACACAGGAACTCTCACCGAAGTGAAAAGAAAGGAGAGCCCTCTGCATGACCTGATAATGGAATAATGGGATAAATGGAAAAAGAAAGTATCTAAGACAATATCCTTTAACCAGAAACAAAGAGCTGCTTATTGCCTAAATGTCTCAGCTTTTATATATACATTATTTTTAACTTGTTTTTGTTTTTTTTCCTGCCTCTATAGTATTGCACGATGCACTGCCAACTAGTAACATCGGAAATTACCAGCACTGATTTTCAACCAGGTAAACATGGAAGTAGAAAGAAAGGCATGTATATTTTGACAAAGACCTTACCAAAGATTCTAATGTATTCTTCCAGGGGGCTAGGGAAATAGCATACTCTTCTGCCGTCCAGCTGAGAATCACAGTTAAACAGAATTTTAAGGGATAAGTTAAGTGACAGAGTAGTATGTATGAATCAGGGAAATTGAAATTCTTAAAACATATCTTTTGAAAATGCCAAGAGTGTGGCATCTCCTTGCTGTGCATAGGGTCTGAAATTGATGAAATAAATTAAAGCATACGTATATTGTTTAAAATTATACTCACAACTACTAGAAACCAAAATAAAATAAACTATTAAAAAGAACTGTCTCTGTGGTATGGGCCTAGAATAAAAAAAAAGACACATCTGTATTGTTTAATATATTTTTAATGTTTCTATAATTTAAAAATTATCTTTAAAATGTTTTTTGTAAACTTCATATTTTTTCTTCTAAATGTTGCACAATTTAGGAGGAAAAGAAACTTGCCAGAACAATGACAACTGACTTCCAGGAAAAGTCCACTGGGAAATAGTGGGGAAAGTTGTTTTTCAGTCTTCAGAGTAGCCAAATATAGCACACAGCACTTTTTATATTCAGATTTATATTTATATCCCCTAAAGTCAGTTGCTGATGAAATCACAACTTTAAAATATCACCAAACATTGTTCAATTTATCTGCCAGCCACCTAGTGCAGAACAAATGAAGTTATTCCATAAAATGTAAATGGACTCAGTATATTAGTACAACAAATTTAATTCTAGAGTTTAGTAACAATTTTCTCTTGACACTGGACAATGAAGAGGCACACTGCAGAATAACTATTTTTAAACTCATATTACCTTGCTATTCAGTGTACATCTGTCTTTAATTTTTTTCCCTTGGAAATATCTGTGAGGTACAGGAAATAATTCTATAATGCACATTTTATAAATACTAGTGTACTCTGTATAACTGAAAGCACACCACACTTTTCCTTCCAATTGTGTCCACTGATCTACTTTTCTAAAATTATGATATAGGTCTTTAAATAGAACCTATATTTTTTGTTATATTGAATTTATACTTGGACATTTCATTTCTAAAACAGTATAACTTCATATATAGAGTTCTTTCCATTGGAAAAGATTCTTAGGAGGGACAAAAAGAAATAATTCCAGCAAAATACTAGATTCTTACAAGATTTTTCAAGAAATCACCTTTTACTGTGACGATGCTCTAAATGTATTCAAATGGCAGTTAAAACCTTATGCTCAAGCATGCACCTATGCTTTAAAACCAGGTTGTCATACAAGTACCATATGACCCCACTTGTGTGCAGTGGGATCTAAAAAAAAAAAAAGAACACAAAAACCAAACTCATAGATGCAGAGAACAGATTGCTGATCACCAGAGGCAGAGATGGGGAGAAGGGTGCAAAATGGGTAAAGGTGGTCAAAAGGCACAAACTTCCAATTATAAAATAAATAAGTCCTGAAGATACAATGCACGGTGTGGTGACTATAGTGAATCATAAATACTGTATTGTATAGTTAAAAGTTGCTAAGTGAGCAGATATCTAAAGTTCTCATCACACACACACACACACACACAATGTGACTGTGTGTGGTGATAGATGTTAACTAGACTTACCGTGGTGATCCTTCTGCTGTTTGTACAAATCTCAAATCATTATATTGTGCACCTCAAACTAATATAATGTCAATTATATCTCAATTAAAAAAACAGGCTGACGTATTATTAACTGAGATTGGAATTATTGCACAAGTAATGTATAATACAAAGAGCATTTTAAAATTTCAAATTCCGCTGAAATTCAAAAATGAAGTGAGAGACAAAATTAAAATCTAGGACTATTTACCCATTTTTAATTAATAAGAGCTATTGGAAGTTTAAATCCTTAATTGCATATTCTTATAACCTAATTATTCTGGAAACAGTAATACACGGTGGGGCAAAAGTAGGTTTGCAGTTGTGAGTATGTGAAACACAGAGTTACTCTTGTATTACCTATTAATTATTGCATCATTTCCCATAGAACAATTGTAAACCTCCTTTTGCCATCCACACCTGCATTGTTACCTTTATCAGAATCTTGCATTTGTGCAGTACTTCATACTTCTCCGAGCAATGCATGTTGTTACCATTCTGTATCTTCACAACAACTTTCAGTGAAAGCAGCCAAATTATTGGTTTTGGCCAGTCCTTCACATCCTTCAAAGTTGGGCTCAAATGCTACACACTCTTTTAGTAAACCCACCTAAGGACCACGGATGAACTTACAGGTATTTATATAGGTATCTGTGTAGGTATAGGTATTTTAGCTCCCCAGTTTGGCTGAAGTAAGGACTGTATCTTACAGAATTTGCATGCATTTATGTTATCCATGCCAACTTCAGCCTGGAAGAGAGGAAAGGCCTGGAGTAAACCCTGTAAAGAGGACTCAGTGGACGAAAAGGATGAATGGTAAGAAGCAGAATGACTAAGGATCTAAATTCTGGGAACCTAGTTGGCAGAATGCTGACACTGGTCATTACGCTACAGAAGCTATTTACTGTTTGTTAAAAAAAATGGCTACCTGGAGTGCAAAGTGTAATTTAAAAGCTGCTAACTGTTTCACAATTCATCTTTAAAAGAAAACCCGTCAGCCATCCAATTCCAATTTATCGAGTGTCTGCTGAGTACGGCGCATTCGACTTGACACTGTTGGAAGAGCAAGCCTTTGCCGCAAAGGAACCTGCGATTTTAATGTGCAAACAACACACACGTGAAGTACTGGAAAAACACATTTCCCAACGCGATACAAAAACAGGCATGAATCTTGAAATGAATTAAGATATCTGTTTAACGTAAGAGCTCTGTTCAGTGCTGGCCATCCTCTAGGGAGACAAATTGATAAGGGATGAGAGAAAGAATCAGGAAATCATTCTAGTGTAGTTTAAAATCAGTTTTGAGGTAAGGGGCATTTACTGAAGGAAAGAAATGCAATCTAGAAAATAATGACTATGAGTTCACAGGGAGAAATAATAAGAAATGAAGTTGGTAGGAGAAAGCTGGCAGTTGAAGGTTTACCTCCCTGTTAAACAGGGAGTTTTGACTTGTAGCAGTAGCAGGAAACTGAAAAATGTTAAGGAATAAAGTAAATGATCAAATATTGTCTGAGGAAAAATGTGCTTTGAGTGGAGTCTGAAATGCACTGAAAAAAATTCAGAAGAGGGAGTGGGTGAGGGGATTGGATGAAAGAAGGTGAAGGGATTAGCTAAAGAACATAGATGCCTAGCCCATAGACACAGACCACACTGCGGTGAAGGCCGGGGGAGCGGGTGGGGGCTGGCTGGAGGTAGGCAAAGGCGGTGGTGGGGTGATAGGGGACATCTGTAATAGTGTCAACAATAAAATTTTTGTAAGATTTTATTTATTTACTTTTAGAGAGAAGGGAAGGGAAGGACAAAGTAAGGGAGAGAAATATCAATGTGTGGTTGCCTCTCATGCACCCCTACTGGGGACCTGGCTTGCAACCCAGGCATGTGCCTTGAGTGGGATTTGAACCAGCAACCCTTTGGTTTGCAGCCTATGCTCAATCCACTGAGCTACACCAGCCAGGGTAAAAAAATATTTTTAAAAGATAAAATGCACTGAAATAGAATGAGATTAAAACAAGGAGACAAGTACCAAATCTGAAGGAAAAGAAAACTGGTCTTCTACACTGTGACTATAAATCAAATAATCCTAGACAGAAAATGAAAAAAAAAAGTGACAAAAACCTTAAAATAGTTACATCTTTTACCTAGCAAATGTCTTTCTAGGAATCTATTTTTAAGAAAAAGTCAAAGATAAGCATCAAAGACTTGTGTGCAAACATGTCTGGACACTGGCTGATTAAATTCTGAGATGCCCACGCAATGGAAAACAATGCTGCTATTAAAGGCATGTTATGGTATGTCAACTATACTTTAAAAATAAAATTTAAAAACTCATCAGTAAAAATAATCCTATTATGAAAAAGTGCTAACTTACGTGGGAAAATGTTCATAACAAAACACATATGTTCAAAACAAAACAGTTTCTATACTACATGTATGAGGAATCATATTAATATGTACCACTAGTTATCTCAGAATAGTAAAAGTTTGAGTGATATAAATTTTTCCTCTGTGTAGTTTTCAGTGTACTTAAATTTTCCTAAAAGAAACATAATAGAAAAGTGATTGACCACTGACTAGATGATGGAGCACTGTGCTGAATGCTTTACATGTATCAT